CGACAATTATGTAAGAAGAGATTCCTCGAAGCCCAACTTTTCTTCACAAACATTTACTTGCCTTTTGCACAAGCCCTTGTAATTAAAATTGAGGGTACAGTAGCAGCCATTGCTGACTAAACTCAATAACTAATTCTGTAGTCACTATAAACGACATGGGGTCATTAGGATTACTGAAAGTTTCCAAACATGCTCATGACGAATATAAAAGCATTTTATGTTGCTTGCGGCACTAAAAGAGCTGCATAAACTGATTCACTTGCCTGATGTGCGCTTGCCAGAGCGTCCAGTTGTACGTCTGTCAGCTTGAGGTCTCGCTCGGCCAGTTCTCGTCTCAGCTTCTCCAACTCGCTGCTATTCATTCTATCCGACGGCGAGGGGTAATTGCAGAGCCAGGCGATGGGATTCCAGGACAGACAAAGAAGAAGTGGAGGAGAGAATGGGGAGGGATTAGATACGAGCTTAGCTACGTCACATTTCCCATGCCCACTGAGCCGTTGCCTTCACAACCAGTCGACTTTCAGTTGATTCTCGTTATTTGATATTGGCGCACAATTTTGATACAGGAAGTAGAGATTTGAGACCACATTAAACCAGTTATATGGGATGTATTTACCCAATTTGGTTTAAGATGATAATGGACTGGTAGGCACTGTGAAATTGAATGGAAACGTCAGCTCCACTCTTATCATTGTGGCAAAATTCTACCACTAGTCCTCCATCAGCTTAAACGAAATACAGTGAATACATCCCATATGACAAATAACATTTTTTCTCAATATTATGTCTCAATAGTTATTTCTCTATCTGTTGATGTACAATTTGATTTTTCCCTGCAAACAACTCACCAGAATAGGCTTGGGAACGGTTTCCAAAACGACTTGCTGTTTTATGCGCAAATCCAAGGCATGGCAAATATGTACGAGGCATCTTTTTAGTGCGAGCATAAACCGAATATGGTACAGCGTCTTGTGGCGCCAAGGGTTAGACGAGTCTTTTGGACGTACACACTCACTGACCCGGATGAATGAAAGGTAAGACTTGCATTTGCTGTCAACTCTCACTACGCCTGTAGGCCAGGCCAGGCTGGGTGTGACTTCGACCTCGCCTCGGTGTGATCGAAAGTGTGGCAGAGGGATAGCTGATGCCGGCCAATTGTGGGACTCGCGTGTGATTCCTGCATGGACTGTTGATGGGATATGACCTCTCCCTCAGCCCATCGTGAGCAATTCAGCCTTGAGTGGGCAAAGACGCCACTAAAGATTTTGTAAGATGTATTCGCCCAATTTCGTTTAAGGTGATAAAGGATTGGTAGAAGAATTTTCCCATTCAATTTCACATAGCCTTGCTTTCCAAAAAGTTGTTCTTATCCAGGCACCGGTGGACCTCGCATCGGTCTTATCAACACCCTCAGCTGGAGTCGAACCACTACAGTAGTTAGCGTGTCAAGCTCCCATCCTGCATTGTCGCGGTTCGACTCCCGCTGAGAAAGTTGATAAGACCGATGCGAGGTCCACTGGTGCCTGAATGAGAACAACTTTTGGGAAAGCAAGGCTATGTGAATTTGAATGGAAACGTCAGCTCTACTCATATCATTGTGGAAAAATTCTTCTTCTACCAGTCCTTCATTACCTTAAACAAAATTAGGTTAATACATCTCATATTACTGATTTACTGGTAGACACGAAAAACAATACTTACTTCGAAAAATAAAGTATAGTAGTCGATTGTTATAGCAAAACATGCGTTTGCTTCATCGACAATTCCACAAAAAGCATATGAAATGGCAAAAAGGCCTGGCCTTCCTTGAAAATTCACATTTGCCTTGTGACCCAAAATGCGCTA